CCAAGCCACCCCCACGGAACCGGTAGTAAAAATTTTTGAAACCCACCACTGATATACACCACTATATAACACACAACAATTCATTTATTTATTACCGTTATCCTACAGAAGGAAGAATGGTATCAATTACTTCCTCTGTCATCTGTTTCCACTCCAGCTGTTTGTTTTAGAAAATACACAGTAACTTTTGGAACTGGTGTTCAATTGCTTTCTTTTTCTTTCCTTCATCCTTTGTTTTTTGTATCTTTTCATTCATAGTGGAAGCAGGGACCATCGTATTTTTTAGTATGTTAATACTGAAAAACAAAAATTCTTTTAAACGTAGCAACTTCATATTATTTTGCATCTTATTTTAAAATACATGGTATTATTTAATTGTGCAAAAAAGAGTAGAAAAGATGAGCGCTTCCCCCTCTGAGAATGGCTGTGACATGAGGCTGTCAATTTCAACCTTCACAATCAAATCATCCGATCCATCAAGACAACGAAACTTCTATCAAAATAGCCACAACTCCAAATGGAAAACTTAATGTCAAAAAATTAGTTTCCTGCCTCATAGAAGGATGTTTTCCTAAAATCTTCCCCATGAATGACATCAGCTCCCTTGAGTGATCAATGGAGACTGTACTTGTTATTGATTGCTCTGTGATTTACACTCAGCGGTTCTGTGCTTGATTGACAGCTGTTAGATGAAACTTTGGTTTTTGGAGAACTGATAGCTCTTCTCAAAAGGGACAGTTTGCAAACAAGATTGAAACTTGCTTCCTTGGTTTAGATTTATTGCTGGAGGGAAGACAAAATATCAATGGCCTTTTTTTATTGTCAGTGGGATTGTGAGATTAATATTTTTTTTTCTAGGGTCCTAAAGTATATCTTTGTCAGGCAGCGTTTCAGATAACAGCTGGATTGGGTTTAAATGACAAAAGTGAACAATTATTTTGCAAACTAGAACATTGCTTTGGGTATATTGTAGTGGGATTAGTATTATCTATTAGAATTATTATGTCTTACTATTAAAAAAGTCAATTTTACTCATCAAATTTTATTTTGCCTTGAGCACATAGCAATTAAACTAGATTCAGGAATAAATACTAAAGATCACATTACTTACAATGCACACATATAAACACAAACATATACAGACATTTGGGAAAAACATAATAAAAGAATCTCTTTTCTCTCCATCTGTCTATGCATTCCCCTTGCCATTTACTTACTAACTTCACAAAAATGTCTAAAAGCTAATTGTTAACAATGTGTGATTTTAAGCCTCTAAGGCAGGGATGTCAAACTCAATTTCATTGAGGACTGCATCAGGGTTGTGTTTGACCTTGGGGGACTGGGGTGGGCATGACCAGGGTGGGTGTGGCCATCTCAACATTAGTCCTGTTGGGGGTGCCTGTGGTGACCCGAGTATTCTGCCAGCGAAAATGGAATCCTGAGCTCCATTTTTGGCTGCCACAACCTCCTGCAACCCTTGCCAGTGAAAACAGAGCTCGGGAGCCCATTTTCGCTGGCAGAAGCACTGCAAGCCAGTCCTTCACTGTTTCCAGGGTGGCCCCACGGGCCAGATCTAAGCAAACACCGGCCCCCAGGCCTTGAGTTTGACACCCCTGTTCTAAGGCAATACTTCCCAGGGTTCCCAGATTTTGACCCAGCAAATAAAATATGGAGAATGGAAGTTCTGCATGGAGAAAACTGCTATGATTAGTTTGCAGAAGAGCAGAACAATGACTATGCTAATATTCAGAAAAGGGCAGTAGTTGTCCAGAGTAGATTGGCTACTATTACTTCAGAGAGCAAGAAAAAAATTCTCTAGCACATATTCTGTTACAGAGAAGTTCTCTGAGGATGGGGTCCAGCACTAGTCCAAAAACTCGGAAGACAAAACTTCTGGTCCCAGTGACAAACCCAGATTGGATCCTGCCAGTTAAGAATCTGTTGGTAGGGAAGTGAGTTTTCCCCAAATCTTCTAACAATGAAGCGTCTTTTGTAATTGAATAGACTGCCTTAGGAAGCTTTCATTCTCTTTTAGTATTTAAGCATGAATAGCAATAATGCAGGAAATCACACCAAGGAACAAACGAAGAGTTTATGGAATTTGTTGTAAGAACAGAATGTCAGGGTTCCAAGTAACACCCCAAACAAAAGAAAACTCCGAGGCTTGAGAGATGGCTTCCAGGCCTGACACAGAGTGCCTTCCATATGGTTTGGATTTCAACTCCATCTGCCCCAACTCAAATTTCCGAGGGGTGGAAGATACTGTTCCAGAGGGCAGGAACCTTGATGTCCTGAATAAAAGGCAGGATACAAGTCTAACAAATTAATCAATCAATGCATTTCTAGAAAAAGGGATGTAACACCTCCAAGTTGGATTATAATTACTTATGGGAAAAAAAACTAATTCACTTTGCTAGCACTGTTTGTTTGTTAGACACAATTTTAAATGAATTCAGAGATGATTAAAACAGTTCAGTCAATCAGCAAAATGTTTTTCTTCTTATCTCCATTTTATTTCATAGGCATGGATTATAAAACAATATTTCTCCAATATTGCTGTCCCCTCTAAATAAAGGAGAATGATATAGGTTCATTGGGTATTTATTGGCTATTCACCCTGATTTAAGCTTGACAAGGGTAGTTTGTCCTCAGCTTTGTATTCGGAGTTATGGATGACATTATCTATGATGATTAGAGGTCTATTTTAGCCCTGTTCAAGTTCCATAGTTATGATACTAAAAGTTTCCAAAAATATAGGAACTTCAGTAGTGACTTTCTCTAGCATCCCAATCTCTTATTGGCATCAATAATCTTAATGTTAAGCTTGAATGCTCAGCTCAGGAGTGGTCATTTTCAAAGTTCTTCTCTAAAAAGGAGGCTGTGCTTTCTTGTTGGGATTCCCATTGAAGGAACTGGGCTTGATGCTACTACAGAATATCTTTTCACACTGTATACATTGTATGTTCTCTATCATTGACTGGATTGAGTATTTGCATGATACATTATCTCTTTCTTTCCTCCTCCTTGACCAGATCAAGCATATTATGTCCAGAAGCATCTTATGTCTATTGAGATGGTTGGGAAGGTCTCAGAAGATAGGTGTAACATAGCAAAGCCATGTAACATGGCTACTTCTCTTTGTTCTTAGAAGTGAACAGCCATATTGCATCACAAAACTATTTCAAAGTGTGTTTCATTTAAGTTTATGTTTATTTGACTAATCCATTGAAAGACCTAATTTGTAAACTAAACCTCACTTGTAAATCAGATTACATCTAATTTGTAAACCAAATGTGTGGCTTAGTATTGTGTATGAACCAGTATATGACAGCTTGTTCAGTAAAAACATTCTTCACACAAATTATGGCTTTTGTACAACAAAAGAGCTGACACCCCATAAATCTTGTTCCCTATTACCTTCAGACAATGAATAATAAACTATTGTCTAACTATATGTACCCACTATGTCTAGCAAACCGAGAAAGGTTCCTTAGCTAGAAAATGGTTAAAATAGTATAGCATTTCATACTATTCATACTTAGGAAGGACTCTTTTCAAGCAATCATTCAACTCTTCTGGACTGTAGGATTGGGTCTCCCTTTTTGAGCCCATTTGTATAGAAGGTAAGCATCAAGGGATTAAAAAAATATATGTTCCAGTTGTTTAGAGTAGTGTCCTGAGAGCAATGAAAAGCAAAGTTTATTATTCCAAAATCAATGTCCTGGTGAACTCTCTCCCACTCCTTCTCTGAATCTCTCGGAGTCATTTTGTTCAGAATCTGCCTGCTTTCCAAGCAACCTTCTCCAAGCTCACAGTGGGTGTTTTAACTTTAACAATTCTGCCCTTTTTTATTTCTCTCCTTTGTTGCATTCTGATTGCATTTTGCTTTGTCATCACTTTGGTGTCATTCATTAGCACGAATATTTGCTCAGCTGGCACATTAATGCTTTGGAAAGAAACCAGAAATACCATTCTGAATGCTGATAGCTCCCTGGCAGAATTAAAGAACAGAAATCAAATAAAAATGATTCCCTCCCTTTTCCTTCTCTTCTCCAGTTCACTACCTACTCAGTGGCTGAAATTCCCCACCCCCTAAATACTCTTGAAGAAATAGATACTCCTCCCAAGATTAGTCTATCCTGTTTCTTTCTCCTTAAATCCACCATTTATTGGATTATCTGAGCTTTCAAGCATCCATTATATTTTTCCAGAGCAATTTAACCTACCAATCTCTAGATTTCTAGAGGGATATGTATAATGGAAAAACATTTCCTAGGATGCTGTAATTGACTTGCCTTGTCTGAGCTCAGAAGCTAAGCATCCCCCGGTCTTGTAACTACTTGAATAGTATATTTGGTCAGCTAATCTGGGAATTGAGAAGAAGGAAAAAAGACAATACAGCAGAAGAAGGCAAATGACAAACCATTTCTGCATTGTTGCCAAGGAGACTACATGACAGTACTCATGAAGTCGCCAGGAGTTGAGCCAGATTCAAAAGAAGCTTTTTAATGTAGCCTTTTCTACTGGGTATCTATAAGAACAGAAAAATTCTTACATGATCTTGCTTCCTGACATGCCTTTGGGGATTTTTTTGATGTCTGCCTTATTGCTATGTACTGAGGACAAATATTCTGAAGCTCTTGCATTGTCAGTAGCTCCGTTCACTTTTCTTTTTTCTTTTTAAAACCGTCATTTTATTCACTTAGTTGGATTAGGTTAGCAATAGTGGTGGCCTGGTAACATTTTATTATAGAGAGGAGTATATTTTCTCTCGTTCACATATGGTGTCGCCTATTGTATTAATCTCTCCCCCTCCCCCATGTGTGTGTGTGTGTGTGTGCGTGTGTGTGTGTATGTGTGATGTCTCAAAGCCATCTTTTATCCTAGGCCTTCAGACCTGCCACATTTATTATTGTGGGAAACTGGGAGGGGGGATTGTATGGGGCCAGGGTGATATATATATATATATATATATAGTCAAAATAACATTCCTTCCTCAGAAAGTCAAGGACAAAATCCCTGCAACTGGAAGGCTGGATTTGGGAGGCATCTCCAATTGGGACGATGTTTGATTGGACCATGTGATGGACTTGTGAATGTTGGGCAGGGACTTGAACTTTTCTTTGGGTGTGGAAAACCCAGAACCTTTAAGATTCAGGTTTTCCCAGATGTGCCAATATGACATCTCTAATAAAATGTAGCTTTGAGGAACTTCCAAGATTCGGAGTTTTATTTCATTGGGGTATTATTTTGAACCCTGACAGTGTGCATAAAATATCAGGGAATGCCATTTAGTGCTATCCCTTACTGTTGCAGGCACACAGAAATGTCAATTAATAGATGACCTTAATGGTAAAATTAGGTAATTTTAGATTCCAACCTTGTTTATAATATGCCCCCATCCTTTGATGGTAATGTACAAAACTTCATTTTACTTCAAATTATAGGCCCGTTAGTTGTACTGCCTACTATTATTTCAAATGGGTCTGCTTTCTAAACCTCCTATTTTAGATCTTATTTTAAATAACAAAACAGCAGATAAACGATTGTCATACTGTTGTTGGTGTTATTATTGTCAATAGCAATGATAATAGATAATATAACAAGCAAAAACAGCTACAAATATGGAGGAGGTAGACAAGGCACCAGGTTACAGGTGTTATCTGCTACCAATACCTACAACCTAGTGCCTTGTCTACCTTACTCAGTTCCAGTGGTGGGTTCCTCCCGGTTCGGTCCGGTTCGGCCGAGCCGGTAGCAGTGACGATATGACGTCACCGAACCGGTTCTCCCCCCCGCCCTCCCACCCCCCCACGTTATTCTTACCTTTTATTTGGTCCCACCCCCAAACTATTGCTGCCTTCTGAGTCCCAGCTGATGATTAGAGGGAAAAAAACTGTTTAAACTCTTGCCGCAGGGCTTCAAAGGGCCGTCCTACAGCTGATCAGTGTTAAAAGCAAAAAAATGAGTCGGGTCATAAGTGCGAGGACCTTCCAGAAATGACTCTGACCAGCTAGCCATGCCCACCTAGTCACGTAACCTCCAAGCCACACCCACAAAATAAGCCATGCCCACAGAACCGGTAGTAAAAAAATTTAGAACCGACCCCTGCTCAGTTCCACTAAAATTATACTAAAAATAGCCTATGAAAGATGCATACAAACTGATAAGTGAAATAGGAAGTGTGCTCCCTATATAAGGTCTGGCTCAGTTTGGATCATCTCCTTGAACTGGGAAATCTACATGGATATATCTGGATCTTCCTAAATTGCTTTCCATGTCAGCTTTGTGAGCCTCTTTGCTATTTCTTTCATTGCACTTTGGTTTCCTTTTACTGCTGATGAAAAATGGGAATGAAATCAATGCTATCAAAAAGAACCTTTAAAAATGGGAGGCAGAGAGAGTATTTTTTGGGGGGCGGGGGGGCGGGTGAGGGGGAGGTAAGAAATGAAGCTACAGAGCCAAGAATAAATGTCATTCTTAAAGACATAAAACAGGTTTATGAAGTGAATTACGTTTGAGTACTTGTGTCAAATGGACTTCTTAAAAGTTCTATTAAGTATTTTATCTGCTCTTTTCTGTTTTCCTAATGATAACTCACTGTCAGAATTTATTTGTCCTGTACATACAGGCTCTGAATAGGAATATCTGAAGTATCTCTAATCTCAACATTTTCATTTGCATTTTTGGCGTGGAACAAGCAGTCAAAGAACTGTTACGTCTGCAGTAGCAGGTGATGCAGATTAAGTATATAAGGATAAAGGAAGACAAAAAAGCTACTAGCAAAAAAATTTCTATTACTTACAGATGATTTCAGTAGGATTTTTTGGGGTCGTGTCATACGGTTTTTAGAAATGTGGGGCAAAAAATCCTTAAAACAGCCTTATCCAATGGGGTTGCCCTCTAAATATGTAGACCAATTTTCACAATTTCCTAGCCAGTATACCCATTGCTGAGAATTGAAGCCCATACATTTTGAAGGCTCCTAGATTGGAAAAGGCTATCTTGCATGTTCTTGGAAATACAATTTGCATCTGAGTACATAATTATATTAATTTAAAATATAGCAGCCCTTCTAGAGCTGTTGAAATACCCATAAAGTCTTTTTTTTCTTCATCTAGTGACCAGAAGACCATAGCAGGACATAAATGAAATATTCTCTCCATTCCAATAGTAGCAAATATCTGTTGCTTGGGTGTAGGACGAGGATGAAGGTTCCTTCTCCGAGCTTGTGGCTTTGTGTCCAAAAAGTTTAAACTCTGCTGAAGATGTTACCTAGCCTGGTAATGAAACATTTGGACACAAAGCCACAAGCTCGGAGAATGAACCTTCACCCTCATATCCTCTCCATCTAGTGGTTTGTCCATGAGTTCCATGGCCTTTTGAAGTATATATTTTATGATTCTGAAATTCAGTCATTAAAGTGCTTTTCTGTCAATAAGCTTTCCCATTGATGTACTTGTTGAGACCTTTTTAAAAAGCCACCATTACCACATCATGCAGCAGCAAAATCCATGCTATTAGTGTGATGTGTAAAGAAACGCTCTCTTGTTTCTGTTCAGCTATATTGTCTTTGGGTTGTATGAATTGATTATACAATCTGCTTTTTCCTATGTCAGAATCTATTTCTCCAGGTTCCATGAAATGTTTTATTTTTCACTAGCTTGCACATTCAGCTTTTGTATTTGGGAAAATCGCCTGACAGTTGTTTTTCTAAATGCTAACAAATATGCCCCCTTTTTTTTCTTCAGTGACTTCAGCCTGTAATGTCATACTGAGAACTAGTCAAAAGGTGCTTTTTTTCTCCCTAGAGAATATAACAATCTTTGGCCTTTTTGCACAATTGTCTTGGAAAAAAAAAACATTTTATGGCAGGATCTGATTGTAGGAGTTTGAAATGGCATCTGGCAGCTTGAGATACAATTCATGTAAAGATGAAGACAGTTATTCCCCAGGGTATTTATGCAAAGGGATTCTTCTTAAGCAAGACTAACTGGAAGTGCTGTTGACTTGCCTCTGGAAAGGTCTTGTTTTTAAATTCTGAATTTTGGAAATTAGATCTGAAGAAATAGATATGGATTTAATAGTTTAATAAATTAAGGAAAGCATGCAGAGCATGGCTTCTGGAATTCCTTTACTAGCTAGAGCAGCCACTCTCGGCTTGTCCACCCAACCGCTCTGGAAGCAAACAACAACCAGAAGGAAACGAAGCGGTTTGCAGCGTCTTTAATCAGGTTAAGCACAGCAACACAGGCAGGAGTAAGGCATAAACCGGCATTGACGTTTAAAGTTAGCGCTACACGCAGCCGCTGTGTAGCGCTCTTTATACACTTAGTAACAACCAATTTACCATTTGGCAATCAAACAGTTAACACCACACACCCCTTCCCACTAGCTTGCTCGACGATAGGGTGCGCTTCTGTTATGTCACAAGGAGGCGCCATTCGCAAGCTTTATGCTCCACCGAGCTCTGATGAAAGCGTTCGTTTCTTTTGTGCTTGAGCGGCAAGGTCCCTCCAAACAGCTGGGAGCACATCACCGGAGTTTACAGCCGCTCGGCCCCTTCTCATCTTCCTCCCCAACAATGGCGAGACCCCTACGGGGCTCGACAGCCACATTACTCCTGCGTAGTAAAGTAACATGTTGCATCTCTGTTTGCATACATTACATTTCTTGTTTATTATGCCTCTCTGTGATTAAGTCAGTGATGAAATCCAATTTTTTTTACTACTGGTTCTGTGGGCGTGGCTTGGTGGGTGTGGTGTGGCTTGGTGGGTGTGGCAGGGGAAAGATATTGCAAAAACCCCATTCCCACCCCACTCCTGGGGGAAGGATATTGCAAAATCTCCATTCTGGGGCCAGCCAGAGGTGGTATTTGCCGGTTCTCCGAACTACTCAAAATTTGCACTACTGGTTCTCCAGAACCTGTCAGAACCTGCTGGATTTCACCCCTGGATTAAGTGTATACTTTAAAGCATGCCTTCAGCTCCATATTCTCCATTCAGGGTTACAGGACCAGTTCAGAGTAGGGAGGGGACTCAGAATGCAGCAGCCATCAGCTTTCTGAATTCGTGCCCTTTTTCTGAAATGTTTTGTTGTGGCCCCGCCCTCTGAGCCTCTCCCATCGGAGGAAGAAAGCTCCGAGCATGAGGAAGAGGAGTCAGCCAGGCCTCCCTCTCCAGGCCCCTCCCCTCTGGCACTGTCTCAGGTGCCAGCCGAGGGAGAGGAGATTAGCAGGGAGACAGGTGTCTCGGATGAGAGTGAAGGAGAGACATCATTCCTGGACGCACGCCTCCGAAGGCGTGATAAATGATTGCAGCAGCTCAGGAGGCATGCTAGGGATTAGAACTGAGTCACTGGACCACACCCCAGAGACTATATAATAGAGGGTGGTGGCCAGTGATCCCTGTGACGAACAAACATAAACCTTGGATAGTTACTAAAGCCTCGTCCGGAACTGCTGAGAGGAATATTAATTCTGTTGGACTCTTGTACGCTGAGTATATTATCTTTCTGTTTTCTGTGGAAATAAAAGCACTTGGCAGACGGTGTGTATATCGCTGCCAAGTTGGAGATAAAGACCTGGGTGTGTTCCAAGTGCTTACTTAACCCTCGGCTGGCTGTGTTTGTGTGTGTGTGTGGACGGGGACAGATCATGTTTTTCTCTGTAGCTCCAAACTGGATCCATCACATTTTTGATTTCAATATTGTATTTGTTAAACTTCTTTCCCCAGGGATATCAATGGGAGGGGATTGAAAAAGTCAAGGTAGCACATACAATTCTGTAATCAAAAGTCCACTTCTTCATTACATACAGTATGTCAGTGATAGCTAACCTTTTGCCATCGCGTGCCAAAAGTGGGGGGAGTGCAGGGGGTCGCACACATGCATGCCCACACCCATAATTTTATGCGCCACGCTCCCCCCATGCATGACCACTCTTTTGGCACGCGATGGCACGGTGGGCCTGGTAGGCCTGCTTTTCACTCTCTCCAGGCTCTAGAGCTACCGGTGGGACTGGTCATTTCCAGCCTCTGGAGGGCCTCGGGGG